CGGCCCTGGGCCCCGCTCCCGTCCCCCGGGCACCGCAGGCGCGTGCCACTGGCTTACAGCCGCGCTAGCGGTGAAGCCAACCTTCTGATCTACAGAAACGATAATAAATAATAAAATAACATCATAACTTAAGATCTGTGTGTAGGCCAGCTACAAAAATTTAAAAATATGGGATAATTTAACTCATACAATACTGCTCTCTGTATAAGACATTTTCCTTCATTGCGCCGTGAGGCTATAAATTACCACAGTTAAATTCAAACCAATATTTTAACATAAAATGTAAACAAATAAAGCAACAGAAGTACCTGCCCGTGGTCCACGCGCGAGCAAGGGCAGAGCGAAAGCTCCTTGCAGGGTGGGGATGTCAGCTAAGGAGGGGGAGACGCTCTAGGGTTTGTTCTCTTTGCAGGTTGATTTAGACGAGTAGTGTTTGAAGGGAAGGCACTATGAGTTCTACCAGAAAACAAATCTGTCTCCGCTGCCCACGGCGCACACCAGGGCCATGCTCGCGTTCACCTGCTGAGGTGGGAAACAGAGCCCCTGGGGCACCCGCGAGTGCCACCCCGGCCACCATCGAGACTCCCCGCGCACCTAGTTTTCCACACGGAGCCCAACACGAAGGGCAGGCGGCTGCCAACGCTTCCGAGAACACACGGGAATGAGGAGACGGAGCGGGGCCGCTGCTCGTGTCCGGGCCGGCCATTCCCCGTCTTCCCCCTCACCGCACTCTCCGTTGGTTTCTGATGCTGTCACGGGTGACACTGACTGTCCTGTCCTGCTGCCCTCACTTCACCAACACCCAGTTGATTGATTTTTCTCCAACCGACTGAAAGAGGCAGGTGGGAAGAGGAGGAATAAACCTGGAAATGGCAGCGCTGCAGCTTGAAGGGGTCGCCGCACTCGACTGGGGAGCGACGCTGCCGGGGGGAAGCAAGGGTGATGTTAAGAAGTGCTCTTAGACCAATTCTCGAGAGGACGAGGTTAGAATACACCTGCAGGATCTCACAACGTAACGCTGATTTAAAAAAAAGGAAAAAAAAAAGAAAAAAAAGAAACAAAATAAAACCCACTATTACATTCCTGGAGATGTAGTGACTCAGAAGACCCTGGATGTTAGCACCTCAGTACCAGTTTTCTCCAGGAACACGTCCACCTTCTGATAAAAAAATGACCCAGCTGGTTACACTGAACACGCTTTGTTCACAGGTTACCTTGTGGTAAGGTCTCTTTATGCTTCCTCATTTGCTAAGACTGCGTGGTTT